GAGCTGAGCAGAAGATTCCAAAGGGCAGCACAGGAAGACAAAGTAAAATATTACAATGAAATATTCAGAGTCAAAAAATCAAAGGGCCAAATTCGCTCGGTATTTCTTAAACTGAAGAAACTGAAAAACAAATTCAAGCCTCGAGTTGCATGTCTGCCTAGAAATAAGATTTTTTGTTAATGAGGTCATTCCACAGCAGGGTGTGTTCCAAGACTAATCAATCACCTGAGTGGTGTCTTCTGAAAAGAGCATGATGGGGGCAGGGGGGTTGTTATATGAGGACCATCTATGAACAAAAGAAAGCCAAGGACTGCCTATAATCATCAGAAATTAGGAGATAACCCACAGAAGAAATCTTTAGAGCCAAGACACTGACCAGACTTCTTGTTGTTATTATGTGCCGTTGAGTCGTTTGCGACATAGCAACCCTATGTACAACAGCCCTAAACTCTGCTCTGACCTGTGCCAACTACACTGTTTCTGACACTCCCATCCCGATTACCCCAGTCACTGAATCAATCCACCTCATAGAGGGCCTTCCCCTCCTGTGCTGTCCCTCCACCCTCCCAAGCATGATGTCCTTCTCCAGGAACTGGTCTCTCCTTACAACGTGACCAAAGTATGTCAGATGAAGCCTCAGAATCTTTGCCTCCAAAGAGCAGCCCGGTTTAACCCTCTCCAGGATGAATCTGCTTGTTTTCTTAGCAGTCCATGGTACACTCAATACTCTTCTCCAGCATCACAGCTCAAAGGCATCAATACTCCTTCTATCATTCTTAGTCATTGTCCAACTCTCTGATGCATAACAAGTGATTGCAAAGACCATAGCCTGTATTAGACGCACCTTAGTCTCCACAGTGACACCATTGCTATTCAGTACTTTAGAGAGGTCCTTAACAGCAGGCTTTCCCATTGCAATATGTCTTTTAATTTCCTGGCTGCTGACGCCAAGAGTGCTGATTGTGGAGCCAAGAGACTAAAGCTGTGAACAATCTAATCTCTTCACCATCCATCCTGATGCTGCCAATTGGTCCAGTGGTGAGAATCTTGGTCTTCTTGACATTGAGCCTCAATCCATATTGGAGGCTGCAGTCCTTGACCCTCTGCAGCAAGCACTTCAGGTCCTCCTCAGTTTCAGCAAGCAGGGTTGTGTCATCTGCATAACGCAGATTGTTGATAGATTTTCCACCAATAGTGACGCCACACTTCTCCTCATGGAGCCCAGCCTCACGGATAGTCTGTTCTGCATACAGTTTGAAAAGGTATGAAGATAGGATGCATCCCTAGCATACACCCTTCCCAATTTTGAACCATGTGGTGTTTCCTTGCTCTGTTCTGACAACTGCCTTTTGGTCCAAGTGTAGGTTTCGCATTAGCATGATCAAGTGTTCTGGGATTCCCATTCTTCTCAGAATCAGCCAGTTGTTATGATTCACACAAACACCTTTGCATAGTCAATGAAACACAGATAGACATTCCTCTGGTATTCCCTGCTTTCAGCCAAGATCCATCTAACATCAGCTACAATATCTCTAGTACCACGACCCCTTCTAAACCCAGCCTGGACTTCTGGCAGTTCTCTGCTAATGTACTGTTCTAGTCGTTTTTGGATAATCTTCAGCAGAATCTTGCTTGCATGTGAAATCAACGATATTGTTCTACAGTTTCCACACTCTGTTGGGTCATCTTTCTTTGGAATGGGAACAAATATAGATCTCTTCCAGTCAGTTGGCCAAGTGGTTGTTCTCCAGATTTCTTGACACAACTTGGTGAGCACGTCCAGGGCAGCATCTGTTAGCTGAAACTGTGAGAAAATATATTCCTTTCAAAGCCAGACACTTGAAGTATTTTTGTTTCAAGAGTAGTAGGGAAAAAAACAAAGATGACTTAAATGGAAAAAAATCAAGCCTAATGGCAGTCTTCATAAAGAAACCCATAGACTTTGGTTCTGTAGGGCCAAGGAACTCAGTGTGGTGTGGTGGAACTAAGAGTAATCCCTGGTCATCCCAGACTCGACCATAGCATACAGAGGACACAATAGTAAGAAGACACTTTCATAGTGACTGAGTAAATATGCACATTTGTTAAGGACAGTAAAAAACAAGTTTCTAAGTATCAGAGGAAGGAGGTAGAAAAATGAAAAGGATGAAATAAAACTGTAGGTTTTATTGTTGTTGTTCGGTACTGTCGACTACCACTCACAGACCCTATGAGCAACAGACCTGTACTCTATGTCCTCATCATCTCTGACACACGAGTCCACTGCTGTAGTCACTATGTCATTGAGGGTCTTCCTCTCCTTCGCTGACCTATCTTCCCAAGCATGATGCTCCTTTCCAAAGAATAGCCTCCCCTGGTTACATGTCCAAAGTAAGAGAAATAATGCTTTACCACTTTTGCCTACAAGGAACACTCTGGCTGCACTTTCTCTAAGACATGTCTGTTCTTTTGGCAGTCCATGAGATACTCAGTACTCTTCTCCGGTACCACAACTCAAAAGCATAAATTCTCCATTGTCCAGCTCTCTGATGCATAGCAGGCAATTGAGAAGACCATAGGTATTAAGTTGCAATGAGAGGCACTGGTATGAAATCAAGATCTTTAATATTAAGAGAAATAGATGCATACGGATGTGTATGTACTTAAGTCATATGCACCATTCTTAAACCTGACCACTGAGAAGGCCTAGAAGTCATAGCACTCCAGTCCTAATGAGGACACCCAACATCCATCCAGACCGTGGTTTCTAAATCCCAGTCTCCAGTGAATGAAGCCACGTCTCCTTGCAGAAGTGGTTGTTTCCAAGGCTGAGTGGGAAAAGTCCTAGATGTACCCGGGATGGGGCAATTTGAGTATCAAATACTATGCAACACACAGGAGCAATGATTTTGTAAATTTTTACCTAACTCGGGAGGGATTAGAAAGCAATATGGCAAGTGAGCTAACTCAGTCCCACAAGGACAAATACTGTATAAAACCATTGTTGTAGAATGAGTATAAGGACCCAAGGAAAGCAGAGGGATGAGGAAGTGTGGGGGAGGGGCGATTAATCATGGAGTTGTATAATTTGATGGGGAGGTGAGGGAAATTGGATGAATCTATTCTGGAAAACAATATATTGGAATTTTGTAAATAAACTGGTACAATTTTTTAAAAGAATGGATTTTAAAGCCTTTGATCACACAGAGACCCAGGAGGGTTACTGATTAATGTTTTTTAAGGCAGCAATTTTTACAGAATTTGTTAGCTCATATTTCCTGACACGTATATGCTGTGGCTATACTTGGTCATGTCCTTGTTTTCAGGAGATGCACACTGAAGTCATAAGTAACGAGGGCACATTATGAACAACATGCTATTGTAAGGAAGGGTGAATGGACAGATGGGTGGACAGATGACAGATGGATGATACTGTCAGGAAAGAGACGGGGCAAATAAGGCAGCACGTAAACAAACGAGGAATCTGGAATTATGTTTTCTGAAATAATCTGAACTTCTATCAAAATTAAAAAATGAAGATATGAAAATAAACTTTTGTTAAAATTATCAATTTAAAAAAGATTTACAAGAAGAACCGTAGGTGTGTAAAGAAAAAGAAAAATGTTGGTGTTAAGATTTTTCTATCAAGACTATAGTAACTTCCAGGGCATACCACACCATTGCATGGGCTCATAGTACGTCACACCTTTGCCTTCAGAGAGCACATGGTGTGAGCTCATGCTGAGGAAAAACCGGTCTCACTGACGTCAGAGAGGTAGAGAAGTGTTGTATTTTCCTTTATTGACATCAAACAAAATTATTTTGTCTTCCATACAATCTATATATAACAGTAGCATCACGTAGTAAAAGCACAATGAGGCATATTAAAACATAGCCAGTTCTAAACAGTCTGGATATTTCCTGTCATAGAAAAGAAGTATCCTGCCCATAGACTCACATTAACATACATGGTACATTAATATCAATCTCTGTATCATACATGAGGCCACACAATGTGGTTTGCATCCAGGGTCAAGTTCTGCAAAAAACTCATTCTAACAGCATCTGAAGGCACCACATGAAGACATACATGGCAATGACGTGAAACTGGATAATTGGATCTTTCATCCAAGAGTGTGGCTGAGCCCTGGATCCACCTCAATGCTGTCTTTAGTCCAAAACTGAGGTTGTAAAGGAATCCAATTTTTAAATAACTATTAAATGAGCACATATATTTGACTTTAGAGCTCAAAAAAAAAACCACTTTAAGCAACAAGAAGTGAACAGCAAGGGAATCCTGCTGATACAAATATATGGCCAGTATGAGAGGACTACTTTAAAGACAAATTTGCAAATAAAGAGCCAGTAAGATCTTTTTTTTCCTTTAAAAATAAAACAACAACCCAACCTTAATCTTGATACTTGTTCTTTATAGACGCCACTACCCAATGTTATGAACTTTTATCAGATTTAGAGCAAGAGTTGATATCATGTTCATCTATTAAAGGTATTTTATAAAACAAAAATTTCTGGTAACAGGTTTGTCTGCTACCACATATTAAGACAAAAATCACTTTTCCCATACCCGTCAATACTGGTATGCCCCAAGCAACCAGCAATGGGGCCTCTCAGTGACACAACACATCCAACCATGCCCGTGACTTGTCACCGAGGAGCCAGCATCCAGGGCCTGTTAGGAACAGAAGCACAACGAAATGATTCCGACCCATCATCCTTGCCAACACCACAACTGCTGACCAGCAGATGGGTCAACGGTCAGGGGTGACCTTGCCAACTTCATCTGGAAGACAGCTCAGCCAAACAGATGCCTGCATGTCATGGATACTGTACCCCAATGCTATCTCGCCCTGTGAGTGTGTCCCCACTTGTTCAATGTTTCAGCTAATCCCCGACAAGGCACGTGCAGCCAAACAACCAGTGTGGCTTTGTCCTGTCCCCTTGGCAGAACACAATCATGAGACTAGAGTCCCACACAGATGCTGAGCTGTGTGGAAGGAAGGCTAGGTCTTACTTCTTCGGAGGAGGGTGGACATGGGGTTCTGGGCAGGTGACCCGCCCAGGTGCTGACTACTCTGGAACTTGAGGCTCTGTAGATTGATGTGGGCCCCGTGTTTGAGAAGCACCTCCACTGTCTTTGCGTGCCTGCCCTGCGCGGCCAGGTGCAGCGCGCTGAGGCCCCGGTCATCAGACAGGTTGATGTTGTCAGCATTGACCAGCTCCTCCACCACCTCTGAGTGTCCGTGGGTGGCAGCCAGGTGGAGGGCGGTCTGGCTCAGTGGCCCACAGGCTAGCACATCAGCCTTCTCCTCCACCAGCAGCTTCACGGTGGCCAGGTGTCCATTCCGGGCAGCCAGGTGTAGGGCTGTGTAGCCCTCCGTGGTCAGTGCCTCCTTCTCTGCACCATGGTGCAAGAGCAACCTCGAGGTGCTCGTGTGGCCTGTCTCTGCAGCCACATGCAGGGGTGTCTGTGACAGCTGGTTGCAGATGTTGACATCAGAATGCAGGTCGATGAGGATTCGGGCCACACGGTAGTGCCCTCGTTGGGCAGCCAAGTGCAGTGGTGTCCTCCCGTCCAGCGTCTGTGCATTCACACTTACACCTGGCTGCTTGGCCAGCAGCTTAACAATGGCCAGGTGACCCTGCCAGGCAGCGTAGTGCAGTGGGACCCAGGCGTCCTTCCCCTGCAAGCCAGCATCCACACCCCGACGCAAAAGGATGCGCACAATGGTCTCCTGGCCATGCTGGCAGGCCACGTGTACGGGCGTGCGGCCCTCACAGTCGGCCTCATCAACAGAGGCATTCTTCTCCAGCAGCAGCCGCGTGCTGGTCTCATCCCCATTTTGAGCTGCGAAGTGCAGTGCCGTCCACTGGTCCTCGTCCTTGGCATTGACGCTGATCTTGCGGGCCAGCAGCAGCTCCACGACACCACGCACCTTGCGCTCGACGGCCAGGTGCAGGGGTGTGGAGCCCTTCCGGTTGGTCAGGTTGGGGTTGGCGTTGTTGAGCAGAAGCCACTTGACACACTCCTCCTGGCCGGCCTCCACAGCCAGGTGCAGGAGAGTGGCACTGCCCTCCAGGACCAGGTCTACATCCTGGGGCTGAAGGATCTTCATCAGCCGGCTGGTGTCCCCACAAACAATGGCGTCCACCAGCTTCTTCTTCTGAATGTCTGTTGTGCTGAGATCTGCAAGCAAAGGAGAGACACAGGGTCAGTGGAAGTGGAGACAGGTGGCCAGTAGTGTCCTCGTGGGGAAAGTGTCCCCAGGGGAGGCTGAGCATGGGCATCTGAGAATGCATGGCTTCCAGGTGACTTTTTACTATATCTTTAGACCACATAATAGTTTTATTCTATGTGTCCATTTAATAAAGCTACAGCAAAACAAAACAAACCTACTGCTGTGGGGTCAATTTCAACTCATGGCTATCCTCCACTGGGAATTTTAGTTGTTCTAGGTGCTGTTAAGTAGAACCAATCCAACAGACCCTCCAGCAGGTTTTCAGAGGCTGAAAACTGCATGAGAGAAGAGTGCCCATCTTTCTCCCTTGGCGCAGACGGTGGATTCCAACTTCATGCCTTTGGGTTGGCAGTGCAAACTCTTTATCCATTAGACCACCAGTGCTCCATTCTATTGAGAACATCACTCAGTTATTGAAACACTGCTCTGGATGTTGCTGCAGAAGCAAATGCCTCTGGACATCTACAATCAGCTGACTCTGAGTACAGATCACCCTGGACAAAATGACTTAGGGAGCTCTCGTGGCCTCGCACTAAGGGGTGGCCTACTGGGAAGGACTGTGCTGCCAAATCAGAGGCAGAGTTCAAACTCACTAGCTTCTTCACAGGAAAAAGAAGGGAAATCAACTCCCATGACATTTACAGCCTCTGAAAACCTGCTGGGGGGTCAGCTATGAGTCACTTCTGACTTGATGGCGCATAGCAACAACAACAAATCTAATCAGCTGAAAAACAAAAACAGGATTCCCAGAGGCAGAAATTCTGCCTCAAGGCAGTAACACAGAAATGTTACTGGAAATTCCTGTCTGTCTCCTTTTCAGCAGATTTTAGACTTGACAAACTAGGGCCCATAATCATATATATCAATTCCTTATAGTAAATCAATCAATCTCTTTCTCTTCACTCCTTCTTCACCACCTCTCTCTTTCTCTCTCTCTCTGTGTGTGTGTGTGTGTGTGTGTGTGTGTGTGTGTGTGTGTGTTGGGAGCTCTGGTAGGGGGATGTACTGCTGTCCACAGATGGCCCTACTGTGGCAGTTTGGATCCTCTCCTCGAGAGGAAAATGAGCAATCTTCTCCTGTGTAATTTACAGCCTTGGCAAAATTGCTGGAGGGTCAGCTACGAGTCCATTCTGACTTGACAGCAATGAGTAAGTGGGTGTATATGTATATGTATATGTATATGTATATGTATATGTATATGTATATGTATATGTATATGTATATGTATATGTATATGTATACGTATATGTATGTATCTAAAAGGAGTTCTCCATATTTTGGAAAAAGGTAGGAGGAGTAAACCTATCTGCTGGCCCTCGGGCTGGAGCTGTTATGCTCCAGGTTCATTTCTCTGGCCCCACTTCCCCATGCTGGACTACCAAAGGGCTTGAAAGGCCCTTTCATCTTGGTCCCATGTACTGTGGGGAACTTTTAGGATGGAGCAGTCCTTAGGAAGTGGAAGGTCCAAAACGGAGGGGAAGATCCTCAACAAGATGAATTGACAAAGTGACAATAACAGTGGGCTTGAGTATATCAGAGATGATGACAATGGCACAGGGCAGAGTTCAGCTATATTGTTCTTAGAGTCACTATAAGTCATAGTCAACTTGATGACATTTAAGTGTGCATCTCTATGTGTGTTCACAAATCCACATATGAGAATACGGCTGGATGATAGGGAGATGGACGAGTGATAGGTGAGGTAGGTAGGCAGACTCTTAACGGACTGGGTTCACAGCAGATAGACCTTAGATCACTACTAAATATAAAAAATGAAAGTCATTTGAAAAATAAAGTTCATTCTACCTGCCCTGTACAGTCATATTCAGATAAAGAATACAAAACTCAGAGCCTCCAGCTGGTACTTAGAAACAAGTTATCATTATAGTCCTTGGCTTACTTTTTTTAAAAAAGGCAAGACAAGGACTGAAAACGGTGAGGCCAGAGTCTGTGCAGCTCCACAGGGCAACTGGCTTACAGCCCAATCCCAAAATATTGCTCCCTGCCCTGCTTACTGACAAAAGATGTTTTCTAGAAAATTGCTCAAAAGACCTGTACTCAAAATACATTAAAGTTCCAGTTAACACGTTGCTGCACACTTTTTAAATTGACAACCGTGCTTAGAAACACATTTGCCGTCATTTGCAGCAATGTGTGTTAATGTCCGAGTTAGGTTATACTGTCAGAATTCTGAGTTGTACGAGGGGCTCCCATCATAGCTGGTAGTTTATAATGCAACCAGGGTATTTTCAACTCCGAGACCATTAACCAACTGTAATGCAGCGAGGGAGTGAATAAGTAATTCAGGAATAAGGAAGCATGTCTAGTTTTTAGGAAGCACTGCCTGAAAGAGACTGGGGGATAGTAGCATCTACAAGGGAAAACACTGGGTCAGGTTAGGGGATTTACTCCATTCATCCACTGGCTCACTCATAAGAGGTCAGACTCTGCACCAAATCACACACAGGCAAGACCCTAATGCACAGCCAGGTAACTCTGTTCCTATCAGTCTCTCTAAGTGCCACTCTAGAGGATGGCTGGGCAAGTACATTATTCTGGGTGTGCACTCCATGAATTGACAATGCACTAATACCCAAAACCAATTGGTAAAGGGACAGAGAACCACAGTCAAGAACTCAGACACTGTTTTCAGTCATCACCGACTACCACAACCCATGTTCCATCCAAGCCCACGAGTAAGTTCATTAGCTCTCAGAACAAAGTGTCCCCTGCTCACCGCCAGTTGAAGGCTCACGCTCGAAAGACAAGGACAGTGACCCTCTGGATGAGAAGGCTGAATCAACTGAAGAGACTCCCGAGAGCCTTTTGCCGCTGCTTGACGAGGGGAGTTTGGATTCCGAGGAGCTGCGGCTGAGCTCCTCTGGGCCCTCGATGGTCTGGGAAATTCCGGAGTCCAGCTGCGACAGCAACTCCGAAAGACTATAGTCATTATCAAACGTTGGGGCGGAGGCCCGCTTGAGGGGTGTGGACGCGGGCACTGCCTGCAAGGGGGAGAGAGAAAAATGCATGGAGACCCTACCATCTCTTACTTGGCTCACCTAAGACACAACTGTGAAGAAGTAAAGGGGATTATAAGTAGGAAGGTGAATAGCATGGAGGAAATTGTGTGTCCCCTGTCAAATCACAAATTGTTAAGCACTCAACTATTAGCTAAAAAGCTGGCAGTTCAAATCCACCCAGAGGTGCTTCAGGAGGCAGATCTGGAAGTTATACTCAGCACTCATATGGTCATGGGAGTTATAATGCACGCCCCCACCCCCAGTGTTACAACAATGCAATCCTATTTGGGAACGGTTCTGTTAGGCCGTATCGTATAGGGTGTGTTGTAAGCCAATCACTTTTTGAGATAAACAAGGAAGCACTTAGAGGAAGAGAAATACCAAGTCACACAAAAATCAAGAAACCTATGATTTGCAGGTGAGAAAGGACAGAGACCCTCCACCAGAGCCAACAGAGAGAGAGCCTTCCCTACAGCCAGAGCCTTCAATGTGGACTCCTCACCTCCTAAACTGTGAGGAAACACATTTCTGTTCATTAAAGCTACTCATTTGTAGTATTTGGCACATCAACAATAGGAAACTAAGAAAGTGGGCCAAAGGAAGCAGCAAACACTATCAGTGGTCAGGAAGCAAGCAGAGAATTCAATCACCTATAACTATATACACAATATATAGTTTATAGTGTATAGTATATATACACAAGACTCAGAGCTGCAAAGACACAAGGCTGGGTCCAGCCCCACCCCTGTAGATCCCACAGGAGCACAGCACTGCCCAGTCCTGCACCATCCACATCGTCACTGGGGACCAGACTGCAGTGATCTACAGGATCATCACTGGCTGATTCCACGAAGGAGATCACCAGACATTCCTTCCCACTCTATCCTACATCCGGGAAGTCTGCCGAAATCTGTTGTGTATCAAAGCCACACACAAACCTCTATGGCAAAGGGGTGGTTGCTGCATATGAGGTGTACTACCCAGGAACTGACCGGGGTCTCCTGCCCAGAAAGTAAGAAATCTACCACCAGCTGCTCTCTTAGAGCCCTGCAAAATATGGCTTTGGGGCTGAGTGTGGACACTGGAGCCGGGAGACGGACTAACTGTAAGGAACAACACGAAGGTACAAGATGAGCTGATTAAGTTTTGATGAGTGACTGGAATCCACGACTCATGATTCTCCCCTAATTCAGGGTCACTGGTTTCCACGTCCTCCTCCTGAGAATCAGGGACATAAAAGAGTGTGGTTTATTCTTACTTTGTTATTTTCTGTATCGGGCCATATCCATTTATTGGCTGCCTTTCTTTTTCTTATCAGGGCTCAAGTCTGACTTTTGTGGCCACCTTTGCTCCCTGACCTTCATATGCACACACAGTCACACACCCCTGTATGTTCAGACAGTGAGAATGTCATAAAGTTTGCTTATCTCTTACCTTCATTCAGACAGCCTAGAATAAATTACCCTGGAGTAAAGTCAGGTAACATGCTATTGGGTTAGTTTATTAGGCTCTACTCTATAAATCTTACCCAAAAATACCCTTAGAGAGCATCAGCAGTTAGAAATTTTCACTGCATCTTAACTTATGTATATTCAATAGATCCACCATTTATACTTTCCTCAAAACTCAAGTTCAAACCAATGCATCGCTGACTCTCATAGCAAAGTATCAGAAGCTATAAATCACATGGGAGGAGGTTTCCCATCTTTCCCCCACAGAGCTGCAGGTAGATTTGAACCACATGCCTTTGGGTTTGCAATACAACTCCTTACACACTAGACTATCATCACCATTTACAAGGCGTTAAAACATTAAAAAGAGGCCAGATACAGATGTCAGGGGTGCAAAGACACCCAGATCATTGCAGCTCAGATAGCATGCCCCAAATGGGCCTAGCAGTCAGTTGGAATGTTACATTTCCCATGATGAAAGAGCATCCAGTTACACAGCTAGTTAATATCTAGTGTGACCTGCACAGTTCATGCATAACTACATCAAGAGCGATGGGACACAGTGTGACAGAAAAAGCTGGGGTCTTATGACTGGCTGAGGGGGGTGCATACTACACAGGAACATCTCATGGGCTCAGGGAGGCAGTTACCCTCAAGAGGGAGAAGCACCCAGGCTCTTGGGGAACCCTCCACAGCTTCAGAATAATCTGCAGAGCAAAGAGGAGTCAGGCTGGGAGAACTCAGGCAAAGTCAATGAAAACCACCACCAATGACACCTCCAAGAGGACCCGCTTACCTCGCTCTTTGTCTCTGGGCGCCTTTTTACATCTAGTTCTTGAGTTGTTTCTTTCACTTCATCATCAGGCTTTTCACACAGATCCTCAGTCTCAGAAGTAATTTCTTTGGGGAGAAAATAAACCAAAAAGAGCATGTTACTTAGATAATCACCTCAACAAGTATTCTATCACACATCCATATCTAACCATAGGGACTAAGTAGCTACAACCCTGAGCTTTGTCATCAGGGAGGTCGAGCACGGTGGGTTTACTCCTCAGGTTTTTCACGAGGTCTTTCTGGGGACCTCTGCACAGCAGCTGCCAGCACACCCAGGTCACAAACCCAATCAGCAGCTGTCGGAGCCACTCTTCCCTGGGATCCTCAAGGAGCTTTCCTCAGGGAAAGGCCCACTTGCCAGATGTTCCAGGTGTATGTGGCCCTGAGGTGGCCAAGCTGTCCTACACCTGAGTGTGGGCACCTGCCTCATTCATGCTGTTGCTCCCTCTGTGTGTTCTAACAGTCATCAACTTCGATTAAATTATCTTCCTAACCAAGGAACTCCATGTGGTCTGAGGAAATAAGACCTGTAGTGAAGAGCCAGGAAAGCCCTCAGGCCTCGACCTCATTGGTCTCCTGAAGACTCATCACTGTACCTAAACTGAAAATGTACAGATGCCCCAGGGCAGCACATCTGGCCCTGGGCTTGGAGTGGGAAGCAGGACAGGAGCTGCCCATGCAGTTACAGTCACCTACATCCCTGTGTGAATCTGAGGGACACCTGCAGGTGTGACGCTGCCCGATGGTGCAGGGTGTATCTTGGTCCCCCATCTCTACGCACACTGGCTCAAGACTGTTGTTATCCCCTGAGCCCAAGGCCTAGACAGAAGCTCTTCTTTCTACAATGCTAGCAGAAGAGGAAAGCAGTAGCATTTCTGAGGAAGCCCAATGAGTGATTCTCTCCAAACGCAGACAGGAGGCAGTGGCCCCTCACCTTGGAAGGTGGGCCGTGCACGTGGATCGTCCTGCCAGCACCGCTGCATGAGGCGGATCAAGTTGCTGCAGGCGCGGGGCCGAGGTCTGCAGACCGGTGGCAGCTCTGGGCGGTGACCCTTCACCACCTTCACCATGATGTGCAGAATGTTCTTCTCATCTGAAAGGAAAAGATGCACAAGTCAGGACAGCTTCGGGAGCTAGGGGGTGGGAGTTTAGCTGCAGGAGGAAGCCAGGCCGTGGGAAAGCACTCAAGGGCACACTAAGCACTGTCACCTGCCTGTCCATAGACCCGTCACCAGGGAAACCACGTTTCCCCTTCAAGAAGCGCACAACCCTCTGCAGCTCTTGTTCTTACAAGGCACACATGTTCTCATACCTATTTTCAAGGATTTGCCAAATGGAATCAGGGTGTTATCTCACAGAGTAAATCTTTCTGGGCCTCTAACTCAAAGGAAAAGAAGCTTCAAAGGAAGAAAATATCTGACGAGGCATGTTCCGAAGTGGCCCATGCCTGCCCAAGGAAGCTAAATACATACATCATAGCATGTGCAGCGTCCAGCCCTCAGACAGACCCAAATTTCTCAAGAAAAGTGAAATAAAATATTTTCCTGGATTCCAATTCCTACGTCAAATCAGAGAGCACTTTAGTGGCTTAGTGGCAAGGAACTGCACGGCCAGCATGAAGGTACGAGGTTTGAATCCACCAGCCCATCTGTGGGAGAAAGATGGGCAATCTCCTCCAGCGTGACTTAATGCCTCTAAAAACCCACTGGAGGGTCTACGATGGGTTGGCTCTGACTTGATAGAACTCAGCAACAACCTCAAATCATAGGTTCCAGCTAGCTTCCAGTGAGCCAGACCAAGACATTAACCTTAGTCAGTGAGTGGACAGGACATATGTGGGCAGACGTTGAGGCTCTACTCCACCATAGGCTCAGGGGAACTAGTTTTCTCTGTTCAACCTCAAACTACACTGTCCACTAAATACAAGCTTCCATTCTCAACACTCCCCGTGGGAAGGGAACTCTGGAGGCAGGTTGACACATATCAGCAGGTGTGGAAAATTGGCCCAAAGTCACCAAGAACTGCCTGCCAAATGCTACACTCATATTTTGTTCCACTTTCCCGTTAAATCTTGTGTAATCTCAGTTTTATGTATCTTTACATTATTCCCATGACAGCTGAGTTGTCTAAAGCCAAATAGGTCCTTTAAATAAGATGAAATGAAACATAACTAAACATCTGGCATATTCTCAACTGCTCAACAACACAAACTACACTAAAGAATTTCATGACACTCACTTAGTTCCTATACCTCGAACTCTAACCTATCTACCAAGCAATAAAATGTGAAGGCTTCACGCTGGCCTTTTACACCACATACCTGTTGTCAGGTGTCACTTCTATCTATCAAACTGTATGTCAGAGTGGCATACTGCCAAGTTTAAAAAAACAGAACACTGCATTCAGACCATAGTCCGCCATGGAAGGAGATGCGCCATTAGGAAATAAATGAAACCAGACGGCAAAAAAAGCAAATGTAGCCTTGCTAGAAAGGGGATGTCAGAATATTCAAATCTTCCTTTTGGGCAAGGAAAATTTCTAAGATACTGTAATTTATGAGAGACTTTGAACTTCTCTTCCCGAGCAGGTCTAACTTTAAACAAACTTCTAGGAAAATTCAAACTCCAAAACACTGCCTTTGAATTCATTCCTTTGCACTGAGTTCCCAAGCCAGCAAATCCTAAGGAGAGGAGACTGTTAATCTTTCTCATGAGGATCCTTTGGGGATTTGAATTGAGCTGTGGACGACACCTCCGAGCACCACAAAAAACTTCCAGTCCATGACTCTACGAACGGTCTTGAAGAAGGGCAGGACCACGCAATCTCTGTTACACAGGTCATGAGCTGGAGCTGACAGTAACCGGCAGTAGTCACAGCTCAAAGTAGTATGTGACTCCCCACCCCTGGGGGCCACATACTGACTCTGACCAGTATTTTCAGGTATTTCTGATCACACCTAAAAGTACTGTGATCGTGATTAACACTAAATTTAACAGGAAAGTGGGACAAAACATGAGTGCAGGATCTGGCAGATGTCAGTAACTTTGGACCAATTTCTACACTTTCTGATAGCACCACCCCACCTACCCAAGCCCTTCCCATGGGCTGGGTGGGAACTGTGGAGTGATGGGGGCTTTTGTAATGGAGAATCTGAATCCTGAGGTCAGCCTGATGAACAGAAATGTCTACAAAATAAAAGGCCACTTTTCTCTAATGAAGCTAAACAGAGAATGGATGTTCATAATGAACTAAGACAATATATGAAAATGTTGAAGGAACACTAATCAATGGTGGCAGAAATTGGAAGAGTGGTTGCCTGAAGGAAATGAAAGAAATGTCAGAGGCTCTGAGCTGGGTATTGGTGACCTGTGGCCACATTTGTCAAAAGAAACAGCTCTTCAGAGCAGACGCTTTCCTGTAGGTAAATTATACCACATGGCTGTTCTGTTAGGGGGAGGGTGTTCTCCCTACTGACTGCTGGCAGGACGGAGCAGCCAGACTCACAGTGACTGTGTCAGCCTCAAGGCTGCGGGCGGCACAAACCACAGCTGAGTGCAGGACGGACCACTGGTACCATCTGAGAGCTAACACCATACAAGTCTCTCTAGTTCCCGACAGACACACACACACACACACACACACACACCAGGAAAGAAGTCCACTCACCTGCAAAGGGCTTCTTCTGTGTCAGCACCCCCCAGAGGACAATGGCAAAGCTGGAAGAGAAAGGCACGTGAGTGTCTCGAGGCCCAGATCCCCAAGGAAAGTAAGTACATGGCTCTCACATCAGCAAGACTATAGGCCTCATAGGCCTTTTTTAAGAGCGAGAGGATTGTTCTCCTAAATTATTTTAAAAGAAAAACCAAAAAAAAAAAAAAAAACAAGCCCGACAAAATCTTCTTATCCTAAAATTTGTCATATTGATAGATCAGCTGCTAAATTACAGACATAGCTTTCCCAACTGAGCAACAAGTATCCTGTTGCCTGAGGGGTCCCCAAGGGTATTCTAATCCATGATGGGACCTCAAGTTCTCAGAGAACACAATCTGTATCTTATTTCCCCAACATATTCTTGTAAGCACCAGGCATGTGGCAGTTGATCAGGCAGGCATTTGTTGAATGAATGGGTAATGGTCAATTCCTAACCCCTTTTCTTCTTCTCCACTATAACCTCATTCCTTGAAGGCACAGATCACCAAGCTCCTGGTTGTGACTGAACTCTGCAAGAGATCCACTCACTGAGATTTCTTCGAGTTAAAACAGAAAATTCCATTAAGAGTAGCACCGCTGCATACTTCAAAGTTCCATTTTGGCTGTTAGGAAATATGTATACTTACTATTTTGCTCTGAAGACAAAAAAGGGAGCCTAACTTGATAAAACAAACAAACAAACCTAAAAGGAGCTTAACTTGGTAACTTACAAAAACAAACCAAAAAACCTAAAAATAAAAATTAAAAAAAAACCAAAACACTCTTATAAGCAAGTGTCCAACACTCAAGTCACTGTGCACAGTCAAGAGTGGTTACTTATAGAGAAGTATACATTTTCCTTTAAAAATAAAATTTGTATTTAGGTTCAAAAGGTCAAAAATCTTAGCTGTAAAACAAATAAGAGCTTCTCTTTATTTCCCACAAAATCCACAAGCCAGGGCTAGTCCCCACAGTGCCCTTCCCTGGCAGTCACCCAGCTCATAGGTACAACTCAGCACCTGGACAATGGTGAGCCAAACCCATCGGCCAGGACCTGGCCAGCCGGCTGCAAATACCAAACAGGCAGAAGCCTAAATGACTTGAGCCTTAGGGTCAGAGTCTCAGTGGGTGTGAGGAGAGCCACAATGAGGGCTTAAGCACAAGCTTGCCCTCTCCTCCCTCTTTTCTTCTCCAACAAGTGCAAGTGATTAAGACCTTTACAATCTGAAGGGCATTGTTCTCTAGGTACATAATTCCCCCTGACTTTAGATTCTTGGCAGCCTGAAGGGCATCTAAATTCCCATACCAAGGGTACAAAGGATAAGAGAGTGAGCTGCTTGGCCAAGTGCAACTGCATATTGGAGAGGCTGAACCCACAGGAATCCACCCCTGAGACACACATGCATACACTGGGACTTAATGCAATAATGACAAGCAATAAAATTCACATTTCATCAAATCACCAAAACTTCTACACTGCGAGAGCTAGTCGGTCTGGTTACAAAGCTGGCCCCAATGGGCACCCCAACACCAATGGCATGGACCCTCCGCCCTCATCAGCCAGCATTCCCAAGAAAAAGACGTCCTTTGCAACCTGGTGTGGCCTTGAACCTGCAGACTAAGGACACCTTAACCCAACAATTGCTCCTCCTAAACCCAGTCCTTGAAAGGGGGCATTTCCCATGCACATCCAGGACACAAGTCCCTGACTCATCCAGGATGGTAGCACCTCACTCACCTGTACACGTCGTGTTTGGTGTCAAAGAGCCGGCTCTTCTCACGGATGCGCTCTGGGGGGAGGTAAGCGATGGTGCCAAATAGCCCGTCCATGCTGAGGTCGTGCGAGTGCGACAGCCCATTGCACTTTGCAAGCCCAAAGTCAGAAATCTGCAACACAAATTACAGAACGAGGCCATTACCCTTGTCACCTACTTTGCCAGAAGAGGCACGGGTCTGACTTTTGGCTACCAGCTGCCAACCGGCTGTTCTTTTTTCAGGTGTGCTTACGTGTATAACAATAGAACTTGGCTCTACAGAGCTTTCAATGGCTGATTTGGGGAGGAGGGAGGGAGAGGGTCACTAGGCCTTTTTCTGAGATGCCTGTGGATGGACTTGAACCTTTAAATTTTTGGTTAGAAGCTGAATGGTTAACCCTATGTGTGACCCAGGAACACCTAACATTTTACTGTACAGTGCCCGCTGGACCCTTTGAGTCCACCTATGTATGAGCCAGATTTGGGGTGATGCCAAGAATGAGGCTACTGATGGGAAGTGTCCCATGATGAGACAGCCTGGATTTTTCACTGTAGTCCTAACCCCAGGCAGGCAGAGACAGATTAGGAAGAGAGAAGCCTGAAACCACCAACACATGTGATTGGTGGAGGAAAAGATTAAGCTTTAAGGACAGAATTCACTGGGAGAAAGAACTCAAGAATTACAACACAGCCCTGGAGGCATCAGAGCTGCCACCAGAGCTGACAGCCTAGGTGAAAATAACACAAAACAAAACAAACAACCCTTCAGCAATCAAGCTCATTCCAGTTCATGTGTTACAGAGAACTGTTTTGTTTCATAGTCTCAGTTTTTTAAATCTTTTATCCCTTTTGTGCAGATATAATCCACATACCATAAAATTCATCCTTTTAAATATTGCAACTCAGAAGTTTTTAGTATATTCAAAAGCTCATAAAATTATCACTGCAATTTAATTTCAGAGTGTTTTCATCTTCTCTTAACAAAGTCCTGCATCCATTAGCTGCCACTCTCATTTTCCTATACCACTGTCCCCTGGAAAACACTAATTTACTTCGGTCTCTTATGAGTCTGCTTATTTTGTGCACTTCATATTACTAGAATCATACAACATATGGTCAACAGCTGCAATCATTCTAGAAGCAGACTGCCAGGCCTTTTGTCCACAGCTCCACTGGGTAGGGATGAACTGCTAACTTTTAGGTTAAGTGTTTTTGTTTACTGCCTCAGAATCAGAACCAAGTCACAGCTGACCCTCCAGGGGGTCAGAGACTGTAAATTACACAGGAGGAGACTTGCCCATTTTTCTCACACTGAGTTGCCAATGAATTTGAACCATTTGCCTCTGGGCTGGCAACACAATTCCTCACCACTTAGCCCACCACAGCTCCCGATTTTGGGTTAACAGTCAAGCCACTTAGAGACAACAGCCTGGGTAGGATCAGGGAAAGCAGTTCGCAGGCTGTGCCGGCTGGAGCGGACATGTGAAGAGCCGAGTCTGCATGTCAAGGCGATCCGGTTATGCAATCGGGCATGAGGAGTGCGGGCAAGTGGCAGCAAGTTGTTTAAAGGGAAGCATACCTTCGGAGCCCTTTAAAGCAAACAAAGCTCAAACCGCACAGCCTCGCTTGGCCTTCTGTTCTCCACCCAGAACACTATCATCAATGGACACCTGTTGGCTCCTGCTTACAGCAAAAGGTCGGAACACATCTTCTGGGTCCAAGGTGTGTGACCCACTCAGGAGGACACCTGAACATCTTCCACCTGTGGAGACTTCAGGACACACAGTGAAGGGGTCTCTACAGTGTCCATGAAGTTCGCTTCAGCCCACGGTCCGTGAGGCACAGACTTCACAGACTCTGGCCACCTGGCAGGCCCTGGTGGAGCGCCAGCCTTGCTCGAAGCTTCCCCTCTCCTGTGTAAACCAGGCCCCTTTGAAGTCACTAAGCGTTGTGTGTGGGATTAAGCCACAACTCGTTAACATTAATGGGAATCAGGATCCACGTGGAAAATGGCCCCTTTATGTTCTCCTTCAAGGTGCAGGGATTTTTTTTTTAAAGCCTTTTAATTATCTTCTGGGCTCCTCCTCAAACACACCTACTTAGTGGTAGGAAACGGGGCTGAGGTAAGCATGTGGGGAATCTATGCAGCCAGGTCCAGGTGAGCCAATGGGCCTGGTGTGCCACCACTGGCTGACCTGCAGGGTTTGTAACTCGTGACCTGGTCCTTCAAGGGATTCCTGACCACATCTGTGGGGAGGAGATGGAAGGAAGCCAGCGAGATGAGGCCCTGCTTTCTCCTTCAACAGCCAGGCCTGTGTGCAGTGGGGAGGGGCTGGCAGTGAGGGCCCCTGTGGGCAACATGGAACCTCCAGACCCCTCAGGTTTCTGCTTGCTGTATGGCATTAGCCCCGGCAGCTGTTGAAAGAACCCTCCTCCTCTCTCCCCACTCAGGTAAGAAATTTTTAGTTTTCCAAAATAAAACCATCCTTCAGATGCTATAAATCTGCAAAGCAGCCAGAAACTGGGAAACAAAAACTCAAAGTCACTACTAAAAATGTTTCAGGTTTCTTTCTTTCTTTTGTTGTGTGCTTTTTAAAAAACAGCCATTTCCTTGGAATTGTTAAAGCCAGAGAAGTATTTAGTGTTGTTACTGAACTCACCTAAGAATGTTATCTTTTATCTTAGAGAATGAATATTCAAGTGTGGCTTTTTAAGTCACAGCAAATCACCAACCATGTCTTCTTTCCCAGTGTTAATGTCTAAACTGCTGGTGATTGCTAATGCACTCACAGTTTTAACTCAAAGCAGTTTTACGTGAAACTTTAATAAATTATTGATACATACACACATATATCAGCAGTTTCAATTTTTCAATTCAGAAATTATGTTGGGCTGGGATATAAGCATCTTTGTTCCCAGAGCTTCCTCCTCATTTGTGATTGTTTTTGTCATTTCTGACCTCCCTGGCTGCTTTCAAAATATAACTGATGGAAAGAAATTTAAGCACAAATTAATTATTCATGAAAGTGCTGACTCTGAAAATGCAAACTACCAGTGCAGAGCTCTCTGGTGGTAGCTAGTCTCTTCTGGGTCTCTTGTCCTCCAACCCCAGATGGAGCTTCCAACGAGTCAATTCTCACTTATTATGACCTCATGGGTTACAGAGATCTGAGTTCCAGAGGGTTTTCTGCTTCTTTAGAGAAGCAGATCCTCAGACCTCTCTTCTTGGAGTCGCTGGGTGGGTTTGAACCACTAATCTTGGCGTTAGTAGTAGAGTGTCAACTTTTCATGTAACCTTAACATCTCTCACGTGGCCAGTCTCCTTTCCTTCAGGGATCCTCGCCATCACAATCACTTTGAACAGCACATATAATTCACAGGCATGCGTTCACATACAGCAGCTGACTCATTGTAACAGAGTGCTCAGTGGTGTCCGCAAGTACATGGGCCCTTCAACTTCCGAGTTCAGCCAGGTAAGACTAATTGAGAGGGCTGCTCAGGCTGTGCTTCCTCACAGAGAGGTGATTTTTAAGTCACAGCAGAACACGGTTTCCTTGGGTTCCTTTGAATATAGTCCATTCAGCATGTGAACCAAACTCTTCTCTTAATTTGAAATGTATTTACACACTTTTATACTATTGACTATACTCCAAACTTTAGAAAGCAGGTAAATGCTTCAAACAATTGCAAAGGGCAAAGAAATGCAAAGCTTTCAGGCTACCTTTTCAGGAACAAAAGAGGTGGCATTCAGAACTTTTAACTGTGTACTCTTGCTGCCCTGCACACAACTATTTCTAAGAATAAAAGAAGCATGTTATGTAAACACATTTTTCTGTCTGTTGTGGGGCTTCCGTGTTGGTGACTGACAAACCTGATCAAGAAGAGAGCACCTCCCCTTCAGGAGTTTTCGGAGAAAGCCTTCAAGGAAGAGGGGGCTTGGTGTGACAGCGTGAGACTTGGTGTCCCTCCACTTCTTGTAAAATGTTGTCTAAAAAACTGTCCCCAGGCAACCTGCATCCCACTCTCTCTAAGCCACTCTGTCATTGTTATTGTTGTGTACCATTGGGTCGGAACCGAACCATAGCTGACCCTCCAGTGTGTTTTAAGAGGTAGTTAATCGCATGGGAAGAGATTGCCCATCTTTCTCCTGTGGAGCAGCTGGTGGATTCTAACACAAGTCATCAGCACAGCTTCTTGCCACTAGGCCACCAGTGCTTCATTCTGAACCACTTTAGGCTCTTTATTAAATACACCTTCCAATTCTTGTCAGAATCTTCACCTGTTAATTAAAACTGCGTCAGCAAGCCTGCTAACTCAGATGTTTACAAGGAGGGGAAAAGAAGACACTCAAACTAAAATTTCAAGAACCAATGCTGAAACTGCCTACAAGGAAAGTAGGCCCTCTGCTTTCTCAGAGGAGAATAGCACTGATTTCCTTACTGCACAAGCATTAAGTGCCTACTAAAAGGCACTTAATATTTACTATTATATATATATACACACACACATACATATATATATTTATATTTATATATACACACACATTACTATAGTATATACTTAATATATACTACTATAAGGTGATTCAGTGGTAGAATTCTTGTTTCCCACACAAGTTGGAATCCCAGCAGCTAAGGTACTTTATACACAGCCATTATAAGCAGAAGATCATATTGCTATGATGCTGATGAGGTTTCAGCAGAGCTTCCAGGCTAAGATGGAGTAATTAATCACTGGGAATCTACTACAAAAAAAAAAAATCAGCCAATGAAAACCCTATGAGCCAATCTGGTTTGCAGCCAACCAAGGGGGATGGTGCAGAACTGTCTTACTTGTTGTGTGGGAGGTCACCATAGACTGGGGCAGACGCAACAGCAACTAATGACAATATCTATCTTCTAGTTAGTATCTTATCACTGAGAAATTACTTAGGGGCAACATACATTTCCCCGCTGCTCTCTGGGGTCATGGGTGGGGGAGCACAGTCTGACAGTGTGAGAGGCAGCAGTGTACAGCCACCATGATTGCTCTTCTGCCTCACCTTCCTTTCACAGGTGAGGAAGCCCAAGCAGGAGCAAGGGCAGGGAGAGATCCCTGTGCCCAGGTCCTCCTGGCCCTCAGGCCAGCAGAGGTCTCCCACAAGAACTTTGGAACCAGCAAGAGTAAAGCAATTAGAACATGCTGGTGAACTCCTCCATCCACTCCCTAAGGAACTTCTGGGTCATCACCTGAGTCCTGTCCACTCACTGAAGGAGTGATGTAACCCGCAGCAGCATGGTCAGCACATAACTCAGAGTGTGCTGAGCAGAGTGATGTCACAGGCCACCACGGGCACAGACAGCAGCACAACCTTGGGCTGATAGCAGCACTTAGCAACTAACCAAAGGTTGGTGATTCAAATCCACACAGAAAGGTCTGGTAGTATACTTAAAAAATTAGCCAACGAAAACCCTATTGAACATAGTTCTGCTCTGACACACATGAGGTTAGTACGAGTACATGATGGTAACTGGTTTCAATAGCATTACCCTGGATGTGGGTCTGCCCTGTGCCCAAAAAACATCCAGCACTGGCACTTGCTGCTTAGTCGCCTTGTCCCGGCCCATTCTAAACAAGTCCCTACCTTGACGTGGTAGTGAGCGTCCAGCAGGATGTTGGCGGGCTTGAGGTCCAGGTGGAGGAGCGGCGGGGACATGCAGTGGAGGAAGTTCATGCCCACTGCGGTCTCATGGATGATTCGGAAGCGCAGCTCCCATGGCAGTGGCTCTGCGGCCAGTAATTTTTCCAGGGAGCCTGTCTCCATGTACTCCATGACCAGGCCAACAGGTTCTTGGCATATTCCATATACCGGCAAAATGTAACGGAACTTGGCCATTTCCATCTTCTTGGCTTCTTCCAAGAGTTCCATGCGCTCCCTGAAAAAGTTCAAAGACGTGTATGTAATGGTCACTCCCCACAGAGTGCAGGCCCTAGTCACGTGACAACCAACTCTAGACGAATGGGAAAATGACCAGCAACAACGGGTGTGTATACACACATAGAAAGAGACAGCTCATTTAACATCACATAATCAAACTCCAGGCCTTCCCAATGTCTGCAGTCCTAAGGCTACTCACACACACCTAGGCATCATGAAGTCACTGCCAATGAAGAGAGAAATTCTAATGATTCTAATTATCTGAACTCCTACAGGTAGCACGGAGCCAAGACAAACACTCGGGGCTGCAGAGTCAGGAGGTCAATCTTTTCTCTCAGGATGAGGTTCCAACTAAAAGTCATAACTAATTATCTATCTTAGGAACACAACTCCTCTTTGCGTTTAAACTCAACACTCTGGCCAGCCCAATTAGTCCTGAATTGAGCCTCCTACTTAAATAAATGGTACAACAAGAGTATAAAACAGAGGTTAACAAACTACAGTCTGAGGGCCAAGTTTAGTCTATTTTTGTGAATAAAGTTTTACTGGAACTCAGTCACTCCTATTCATTTGTGCACTGTCTGTATTTTGTACCACAACAACAGACGTAAGAAGTTGTAGCAGAGTTAATTATTTACCCTCTGGCTCTTCATAGAAAAAGTTTGTCAAGCCCAGGCCTAAGAGCTTCTCTTTGGTACAACTTGTACATACGCAAGACTAAAATGTCAGGGCATTTGTGGTCTGTATTAATATTACAAGCCAAGTGTCTCAAAGTGCACTCGGGGAAAGGCTAGATTCTATGAGGACACATTTTGGACATTCACTAAGTTAGCTGCCGGCAAAACTGCACATAGATGGAATCGCAGGGGAGCTTGATAAAATGCAGATGTCCAGGCCCCACATCTTGAGAAACTGGTTCTGTGGTTCTGGATTATGACTAAGGAATTTGATTTCCAATAAGCTCCTCTGAAGAAAATTTCCAGAACTTGCCTGGGAAGACACTGACCCATTTGAACTGGGGTCTGAGGAGCAGCTGCACACAGACCTTGTAGGCAGCAAGCAGAGGAGCCTCCAGGGATCCACTGAGAAAGGAGAATCCAGCACAAGGCATGACCACCACTCATGACACAGTCCCACCTAGCTTCTCCCAGAATTTAAACACCAACTTTGAATCCCACCTGCTTTTCTAAGGCCAATATTACTAGAAAACCGCTCGGTTGGCACCTGCTCCAACTTCCTAGCTGGCTGTAGAGTCCAGAACTGTGACACTCTGAATGCAAGACTGTTTTTTGTTGGTTTGATTTCTCCTTGAGGCCACAGCACATTCCTAGACTTTCTTTGAAGTATGGAAAAAGTCATATGGGAGGAGACAGAGAGGCAAGGAGAATTCCCTGGACAATGCCAGTAACAGCTGCTACCCAGGCAATCTTCACTCGTGGCAACCCATGTATGTCAGAGAAGACCTGTGCTCCAGGCAGTTTTCAATGGTTGATTTATCAGAACTAGCTAACCAGGGCTTTCTTCTAAGATGCCCTGAGTATTCTTGAGCTTTTCACCTTATCATTAGAAGGAATAGGTGAAGGAGCCAGGGACTTTAACATGCCAGTGTTCAAAGGCACAAACGGCCCAGCCAACTAGAGGATATAAAGTTGGACAGGGTGGTGGTGAAGGGTCACAGGCCTCACAGGCTACTGGTGAACCTTGGTTGTTGGTTTCTAAGGAGTGATGATCCATTCAAACATGAATCTGGGCTGATGTTTGTAGGTTGTGAAGTGGGGAGCAGGAGGCAGAGGCACGTGGCAGACTCCTACCTTACCAGGACCCTGGGATTACATGGTCCTGAGGTTATGCTGCAGAAGTAGAGTAGGATGAAGCCAGTGAAAAAGAATGGGACTGGTTAGGACTGGATGTGCGGGAGAGCTATCAAGGATGAGCCTGGATCCCACCAGAGTATCCATGAGATCAGGAGTCCTGTGGATGAACAGCAGAGTGGTTGAGGGTGAAGGGAGTCAAGAGTCCAGTTCCAAACATGCTCCTGATGAAAAGAATCCCACTAGAATGAGTATCAAGGGTTATCCTAAACTACTATTAAGTAAAAGAAGTTGGGCACACCTTCTTCTCTTAGCATCCTGGTTAAGTGATAAAGGAAGGGGTGGTAAGGTCTCTTCAGGAAAGGTCTAAGCCAGCTAAGCAGGTCCTCAGGCAGGGTTCTCACCAGGTCTGGGCCAAAGGGCTACTCCTCAGCAGGAAGTAAATCACCAGCTGCCCCATCCTTTCACTGGGAATCTCTACAGACAAGGCCAGCTCTCACCCCAACCTATGAAGCCACAACAAAGGGTCAGGTTCAAGGCCCAGAGCTGGGACGAGACACACGCAAAAATCCAGTGAGCACATGGGGCCACTGGGACTAATCCCCAACCAGACTGCTGGGATTCCATCTCCACTCCCAGTCTAACAAGCATCTGAAGACAAAGAAGGCAGAGATCTGGGTTCCAACCTCAAGTATTTTTCAAAAGATGAAAGGAAGTAGCCAGCACCTCTCCTTTGCCCTCGTAATGGAAAAACACCCTCAGCTAAGGCCCTGAACTGCCTTTAGCCAGATGCTGCTTCTGTTGTGTATTTTAGTGAGAATCCACTTCAAGGTTTGCATTTGTGCTGTGCTGCTTCTGTTTTCTTTTAAAAGTGTTCAGTGTGGACTTATCAGTGCAGGAGTTCCTGCAAGGAGCCCTGCAGCAGGTGGCATGGCTGTACCCTTCAGTTGCTTCAGGAGACCCATGCCCAGTGTCAGGAGACCCATGTCCAATGTGAGCAGGGCAGGCTATCCCCTCTGAGAGTTCAGGTTTGCTATACTGATGATTCAGGGATTCCCAGCCTGAACACCAACTAAAAGCACCTTTTCACTTTTGATGAACCTTCTGAGAATGTCCCCTTGAAGTCAAGCCTGTCTGAGAACAAAATCAATTCGATTAAGCTGGAATATCTTAGTATGTGGAATCTCTGAGCCACTCAGCAAGTAAAGCATTTCTGCCATTTGCCCAAAGGGCTCAATACATAAAACCCAGGTGACTTCTGATCGCCAAGCTCATTACAGGCTCCCCGCAGTGCTGGCAGCACATCACTCCATTGCCTTGCCCTCCAGAAGCCAAGTTCAGCAGGTTCCCACTCCCTCCCATGCCCCAGGCCCTTTCCACTGAACACAGACCCCATTTACCTTATTTACATACACACACACACACACACACACACACACACACACGCGCGCGCGCGCGCGCTCTCTGCTTGTTTCCACCCGAAACCTGATCACACACAGACTGAACCTGAACTTCTCCCAAGGAGGCAATGTAAACTGACTCTGCAGGGCAGTCTAAAGAAAGCAAAGCAAGTTGTTCCCATTTCAGGGATCACACACTGCAGCATGGTTCTTGCAGAAAATCAACTTTCCTGGAAAACAAGTCACTGTTTCCAGGGACAATATCATCCCATCTCCTTGATGGCTCAATCAGAAGCAGGCAGGCAAGCCTTGAAGCATTCCACACTTCCCTAGGTTCTGGTAGAGGGTCCCTGGCACACTAAGGGAGGCTGCCAGCAACAACGGGTGCACTCCACCTGGGAGTGGATTGGCAGGTGCTTTCTCACCTGCTAGTGTTGACTTCTGTTCAGAACAGCTGGCATATCCATAAAACATTATCATTCTGTTTATTAATTAATGGGGGGGGGACTGCCATGGAATTAGCTCAGACTCAGCAACCCCACATCTGTCAGAACAGAACTGTGTTCCACAGAGTCTCAGTAGCTGATTTTTTAGGAGATTGCCAGGCCTTTCTTTTGAGGTGCCTCTACAAGGACTGAATCTCCAACTTTCTAGTTAGTGGCCCAATGTGTTAAGTGTTTGCACCACATCACTCCCCCCAGCAAAACCCTCAAAACTTGTCATGATATTACACATCTCAAGCTCCAACTCATTGCCACTGAATCACTACTAAATCCAAATTACTATACTGGCCCCATCTTATCTGCCTTATTCTTTAGCAACTTAAGAGAAACACACACCCCAGCTGCCCAGGAGACCCCAGAGGGGGCCACAGCCTTTTAGGGACAGGATTAAATGTCTCTAGTAGAATTTACAATTCAAAGAGCTTAAAGTAGGCCTTTCAGGGCTCAGGCAGCTAGAAAAACAGAAGTAAAAATAGTTCTGAAAAGGCTTTATAAAGTGGTGAGTGTACAGGAAAAAAACCCATCAACCAAGGGCAATCATATTTTCAGGAACCATTTATTCCTCTAACAGTATTTATGGTTTATATTAGTGAATACACAAAAGAAACTATACATTTGTTATTATGATTGTTTTTGTATGCCATCAAATAGATTCAGACTCCTATTGACCCTGAAAGGGAGCTCTGGTGGCTTAGTGGTAAGGAGCTGTGCTGGCAACTCAAAGGCAGGCGGTTGGAATCTACCAGCTGCTTCACAGGAGAAAGGCAATCTCCTCCCGTGTGCTTTACTGTCTCTGAAAACCTGCTTGGAGGGTCAGCTGTGGGTCAATTCCAACTCAAGGGTACACAACAACAACTGACCCTATATAACAGAACAGAAGCATTGAATTTCCAAAACTCTAATCTTTAAGGGGCTAGAAGACTACAATGGTTCTCGCATCCACCAGAAGCATCTCAGAAGGAAGATGAGCAGTCTCTAATTACAACAGCCTCAGAACCCGATGGAGGGTCACTATGAGTCAGAGTGACTGGATGGCAGTGGGTGAGTGAGTGAATATAACCTACACAGGAGGAGCTAAGTATTTTCCTCTGCACGAGCAACGGTGGGTTGAAATGACTGATCTTTCAGGCTGAGAACACAACCACTATGCCACCAGAGCTCATTTTTAGTATGAATACTCAGAATTCCCTACTCATTGGTTTAAAATCGGCTTTATCATTTAACTTGATTTTTTTAAAAATATTTGGCAGTTTGTGAAATTTTTCTTGTAGTTCATTTTTATTG